GGGGGAGGGGGAAGGAAGGGAGGGAGGAGAGGAAGGAAGCTCACCTCGAGCAAGCGGATTTCTCGAAAATAAATTTCCTTGGCGCAGACGCCAAAGTAGTTTGGCTCTTCTCTCTTAAGCTTCAAAAGGATGTTTCTCGTGCGCGCGATGCATTCCTGCGAGAAGTAGGAGGACGGGACGACAAGGAGGGAATGAGGGAGGAAAGGAGGGGGGAGCGCGGTCACCCCCTTTAGGAGTGGCCACAACAAGAAACAGGCAGGGTGGGAGTGGGGGAAAGATCTGGGAATAAAGGAAGGGTCGAAACAGGAGAGAGAGGGAGGAAGGGAAGGAGGGAAGGAGGAGGCGGCTCTGGGCCGAGAGGAAGCGACGGCAGTGAGCGAGGGCAACACCCCTTACCAACAGCTGCACCAAGTGAAAAGCATCCTCCTTCTCTCTGCCCGCCAAGACCCGGCGCCGCCCGAATAGGTCCAATGGGGTAGCGACGCCGCTGCTTTTTTCCTTGCTGGGACTACCTCCCTCGTCCGAGCTCCGCGCCATAGCAGGCAAGGGAGCGCCAGCTTCCTCCTTCCTCCTCTCCCGTATAGGGTGGAGGAAAGGGGATAAGAGGGAGGAGGAGGAAGAAGCAGGATTCTGGGACGCGGGAACGAGCTGGGAGATGCTCCTTTGACAGACCTGCGGTGAATAAGGGGGGAGAGCGGTGGTAGGGTCAGCAAGGGATGGAGGGGGTGGGATAGGGTCCAGGGGACTCCAGGCGATGCGGGCATGGCAGTGTGGGCACTGAGAGGTGCGAGGGAGGCGGTACAAGCACATTCAGCACCCTCTTAAACGTCATCCCTTCCATTTCCATCACCCGAATTCCCTTCTCCTCTCCGTCCTCATCATGCCTCTCCTCGGAGAGGCTAAAATGACACCCACACGCCGACAAATCCCCGCGAAGGGGTGATCCCACTCCATAAAGAGTGCCGCGATCAAAGAGGGACACGTGCCGGACAGGGCAAGCTTCGACACCCTGTACACAAGCTGGCAAAGTCGTGGACCGGCCGTGGGGATCCTCGAAGATCCAATATCCCCTAAGCCTCGTGCGTCTCTCGAACAACTTTGCCAACCCGCATTTCCCGTGTGGTCTATCTTCGTATTTACCTTGATGACGGACATGACTAAGCGGCTCAAATCTCGCCCATTTTTCCTTGTATCTGCCTCCTGCGCATCTGGCATCGCCATAGCGGGGGGCACCCTGATGGTCTCGCGCCCCGTGCTCGCGAACCCCATGAAAATCGCTCCTTCCTCGTGTTCTCCTCCATCCACGACGCCTTCGATCGCTTGCAAAGCGCTGGCTGCACTAGCAGCCACTTCGTTCGCGAGTCTTGCCTTCTATACGGACAAAGATGCAGATTTCAAATATCACATACAAACGAATGATATACGCTCAGATAGGAACGCAAATTCTCCCCCCCAAGAGTCCAGCCACCACCAACATACCTCTTCAGCAATCTCATCCTGTGCGCGTGTAGCCTCAATGATTCGTAGGACTGCCATCGATTGAGATAGGAGGGCAAAAAGGAGGGCAGAAGTAGAAGGAGGGGCGAGGGAGGAGGATTTACTCCGCATCATGGACATTTCCGTGGAAGCAAAATAAATAAGCGCTCCGACCACAGAGATAACGGATGACTGTCCCCTAGAAAGGAGAATATGAAAATAGGAAAAATATTGAGTCGTGAGGAGGAAGATAGCCATCGAACAGATAGTGCAACCTCCTACCCTCGCCTTCAGTCATGTTGAGAAGGGATGGAACAATATCATAAGCACTGCCTGACAGCCAATGCGGCGGGGAAAGACCCACTAAAACAGGGCCACGACGTTCCTAACCATGTCATTCTAAAGTACCCGCGGGATGCGTGAATGCCAGGTTTACGTGTGAAAAAGATGGTGCCGCAAGAAATATGGTAAAAATATCAATAAGCCATCAGAGGGCTGCTCTCCAATTCTGAAAACGTCGGTCCAGGAAAATGTGACACTTAAAAACCTAGACATTCAGATATCGACATGTATATTACCAGTACCTGCATGCTTGAAATAATACCCTGCTTAGAGCCCTTAAAATAAGCCGTTTTATTTCTGTGCTCAAGTAGCTGCCTCCCTTCATTCCACTCGCGGACAGATAGCACGCCACTAGTAAAATAGTTCCAAGCTTAAGTTAGGTACCCCCCCCCATCGGATCCTTTATACCCAACCATGCGACACACAATCGATTCACACTACATTCACACTGCCTCCGTCGAGATTTAAAAGCCTTTTGCGTTCCATGCCAGGCACGACGCACCGCTACGTCCTGCGTGTTTCGTAATTTAAGATGCAATCGAGTCATAGTCCGGCATGGGCCTATTGACTGTACTCAAACTTCATCAAGGCGCCACGCACAGGGCGTGCCTGGACGTGTACCGCACTTTTCGAGGCATTCTAATATTATGTGTGATGACAGATAGCATTTTCAAAGGACATCATTGCATAAAGTGGACCATGAGGTGGCCGTGAATGTCTTTTTGATGGGGTTAACATGATAGTAACTTGGTCTCAATCCTCCTTCCCTTGCGACTTGGCATGCGATGACCAACAGGATGCGTTTTCACGCATGCTTTCTCCTCCTGAACGTCATATCTGGATTTCAAGCCTATGCTCGTCAAACCACCAAATGCGATACGACCGAGGCCGAGCGTGCAGAAGTGATGAGAAGAACATTGGAAAGTCTTGAAAATGAGTATGAATTTTTGCCAGGTTCCTTGTCGTTTCCTCCCTTCGCACAGCCAGCGGGACGATACGGTTTAGGTATTGTGGGAGTGAAGAAGGAGGGGGGAGGGATGGAAGGAGGGAGGAAGGGCTTGCAGGTCGTCGAGAGAGCCAGGTTGATCAAGCAGACATTTCCCCATCTTCAAATCACCCTTCAAAAATAGTGGCTTTCGACGGCAAGGTTGTCAATCCTCCCGCCCTCTGCGAGATAACATCCCGCGTCGATACACCTTACGGTCCAGGTACGAGGGTGTGGGACTTCATGTACCTTATAGATCCATGGCTAGTCAGCATCCGGGTACTCGCGCCGTGTCGATGGGCGGTTGGACAGGGTACGACCGTTGGAAACACCACCATGTGTCCAAACCCTGGCAAGACACCTGAGAGAGTTCCGAAAATTACACGTGTGAAGGGTATAGCGGACGACGAGGCTGACGTACACCCCTCTCTCTTCCTACACACACATATATATATATATATATGTGGTGTGTATGTATGAATCTCTCTCTCTCTATATATATGTGTTTATAAATAATCTAGGCCTCTGTAACTATTCCTTCGTCCTGGGGCCTCGGGACGCCGTGGTCGGCCTCTTCTGCACCCCCCCCCCGGTCAAGTACTTCTCCCTTCGCTCCTACACGGGCTTTCGTTTCCGACCCCAGGCATGGCTCCCTGCCGTCGAGCTTGCCGATCCGGACAACAACCTGACCTTCAACACCACCGGCAGGCTACCACGGGAAGGTCCTTACTTGCAAGGGAAAAGGGAAGGAAGCGCTGAGTCCGACGCCGCACCTTTTTGCCGGACGGCCGCCTTTGTCAGTACAGGGGACGGGGTGACTGCTCGCGATGTGCGACGTGCTCTGGCAAACGCGGGTTGGGCAGCGACGGCCACGAACCTCGACGTGGTCTCGGCCGAGAAGGCTTACTTTCGCGATGTCCGACGGCCCTGGGCGATCGACCGCAGCGACGCCTTCGTCATCAATTACCGTGTCTCCCAGCCGATCGACTCGGCGGCAGTGGCCCCCTATTTCGCGTCCTCCTACCCCTTTTACATGCTGCGCCACCGTCCTGAGGTCTCTTCTGCCACGTCCAACAGGGAGTTAGGGAATGCTTCGAGCGCCCCGGCCCAAGCGACTCTTCCTACATCCGGGTATTTGAACATGGCGCCAGGCGGCAACCTTGGCCACCTTCCGGACATAGAGGATGAAAATGCGCCCCGGGAGCCCCTCACTACCCCCCACCTCCGTCCCCGAGGGACAGGGCAGGATGAATCTTACCTGCTGCCGACGTTGGCACGCTTGGAGGAGGCGGTGACGGCCTACATGGGCCGCAGCCGGGGCGCCGTGTTGCACGCGCGTTGGGAAATGGAGCACATTCTGCCAGACACTCAGCGGTGCTTGACTGAGCCAGACTACTTCCCAATCGCCGCGTCGGTCCCGGAATGGTGAGTGGGGGAGGCCGTAGGGAACGCATCCGTCTGGGCGGGGGGGTGCCACCCGCTTGGGCCAATGGGTCTGAGGGCAAGTGAACGGCAAGACGTGAGAAGAGGAGAAAAAGAGATAAAGCATGACGGAGGGGAGCGAGATGGGGGGAAAGGAAGGATTCCGAGGGGCGTGTGACCGGCATCACCATCATACTCGCAATGTGCTGCCATTGGAAGCTCCCTTTACCCTTTGCGGGGGATGGAGCCGGCGCAAACTTACTCAATTCTCCCATCCCTTCCACGGCGCAGGAACCTCACCGGCTTCGCCACCTGCGGTTTCTTTTCCCGGGACTGCCTTTACACCTTCCTCTCTCCCCCAACCACGGGCAAGGTCGATTACGGCGATTTGACCTTCCCGCGGAACCGCTCCTTTGTGTTCCTGGGCGCGAATCAAGTCGGTCTGGAGAAGGTCACCTACTCCAATATTTTCATGACGGCTACGGCGGAGCCGCAGAAACAGGGACGCACGGTGAACTTCAGCGCTCAAGCCCTTGGTAAGTTCTGATGTGACACATCGTTTTTGTTATTGTTATTGACAGGAGCCGTGAAACATTCAGGAGGCCTGCCTCTGCTTGCTAGGAAGTGTGAAGATCGTGTCCGGGTCGGGACGCCGACGTTTTTCAATGTGTGTCAACTTGCAGGAAAAGGCTTTCAAGGTCGGGGTTAGAAGGCTTTCGTCTCATCGGCACATTTTTTCGCCCTTGTCCCCACACGCACACGTGGGGCCCGATGCAGAGGGGAGTGCGAACTGGTTCCTCCCGGAAGATCCCGAAGCAAAGGACCTGTTCGCCGTCACCCTGACACGGGACGATTGCCGACAGGGCGTCTTGGTAAAGGATGGAAGGCGGGGGGGGGCTCTCAGCACTGACGAAGCCTTCTGCACGACGGTGAGCGAGGGCGTGCTGAGCTACGAGGAGTTCGTCTACATCGTGGAAAGGAAGTACCTGGAACCCGCGACTCAGATTGGTCCTGATCCCGACGAGGTCCTACCGCCGGTGGTATTAGTGTTCGAATCTCCGAATATCACCGGTCTGGGATTTGAAAGGGACGCAGAACGGATGGAGGCGATGGCGCGCTTTTGACCGGATGAATGCCACCCACGAATCGGCATGAGGGTCAAAGCAAGAAATCATACGAAGGAGTCTTTCTTTTTGGAATCATGACCTGTACATATTTTTCCTTTCTGTTTTTCTAAAATCATGTTTCTTGCGTGCGTTAGCCTGCGTGATTTTCAAGGGTGTGGTTGTCGTCCGCTTTTTCGACAAAGTCCCTGTGGGTCTGTCGGTACTTTCCCAACAGGTACTCCCCACTCTTGATAGGGACGTGGCGGGGGACCTCGCCTTCCTTGACAAAGCCCGGCAAGCAGGCCACCAAGGTATCAAAATTGGGCTCGTAAAAAAACGGGGCGCTGTACCGTCCTTCCTCTGTCGCCTCCTGGATCACCACACGGTGCGCTGTGGACTTGAACACATCGTTCGTCCATCGTTGGAGCATGTCTCCCAGGTTCACAATGAATGCCCCTTCCACCGCCGGCACCTCCTGCCATGACCCGTCTTCCTGCCCGGCCCCACCCCGCCAGACCTGTAAGCCGGGCGTATGGTCCGTCATGAGGAAGGTGAACATACCGTAGTCCGTGTGGGCACCGGCGGCATACACCCCTTCCGACGGGTTCGATGCCTGTGTTAATTCCACGAAAGGTGAATGAGAGGAAGCCAGGGTCCATCCTACCTGCCCACGGATGGCATGGGGGGGCACGGAGGTAGTACGGGAGGGGGGGAGGGCAAAACATGAGCTGCATGCCCGAAAGAGGGGAGACATCTGACCTGTGTCGAATAGTGCAAGAGCCGTAACGCTGCCATCGGCCGGGTGAACGTGTCGTCGAGATGGTGCTCTGGCAACCCCAGGGCGCGGAGGAGGAGACGGACCGTCCGAAGGCCGAGGGAAGAGAGGGCAGTAAAATAGGCGTTCATGACGGCTAGAAAAAAGAGGGGGGAGATGAAATGTTGACAATCGGGAGGTGGAATGCTAGATGCCTCATTTAAAAAAGGGAGGCATTGGGTTGAGAGGACAAGAGAGGATGGCCAAGATGCCTACGGCCAGCCCCGCAAACCTCGGACGTTTTTCCATCCGACAGCCCATTCTTGCCTTCCCCCCTTCACGCCCATAGCCACCACCACGCCATCCCATCCCAAGGAACACGCCCCTCGCTCCTTGACTCTGCCCTATACTTACGTCTCCACCTCGGCAACTTCACGGGGTCTGGCCACACGTTTGGGCCGTGCAAAGGAAAGCTTCGCGCCTCCTCACTCTCCATGGCTACCTCCCTCCCCAGGTAGAAACCTTCCTTCGTGTCTCCCCTTGTCTGTCTAGTTGGGTCCAGAGTCTCCTCTTCGAAGGCGGTGTATCCCCGATTGATCTTGTTGTGCCGGACGGAGACTTTCTCTTTTTCGTCCAGGGGAAGGCTGAAAAAGGCCTGCCCGGAAACGAATGACGAAAAGGGAAACACGGTGAGACGGAATCGTAGTTGGTAGGTTGAAATCTCTCTCGAGGTGATGAACCTAAAGAACAAAGGACGATAGCTCCTCGTAACACAGGAAGCCGGGACGCACCCGGAAAAATACCTTGGGTACAGGTAGCTACCGGATCGATGTTGCACAAAAAGATATTCAGGAAGACGAAGAAAGACACGGGAATAAAAGGGGAGAATCACCGCTTTTAAAAAGTAAATTGAGCAACAAAAACCCATTGTATGGTATAGGTCCATCCAATTTATCGCATAAATGCATGTCGCGGAGGCAGGACAACGAAGGAGAATTCAGGTGTCCCCCTCCAACATTTCACACATGGCATTCAGAGAGAAAAATATCCACCTTGGACTCTGTAAGCATGTCGTCGATAAGGGCCTGAGGTACCCCATGGTTGATCAGGTAGAAAAATCCAAAGTCCCGACAGGCGTCGTACAGGATGCGCGGGGCTTCCTCGGGCGCAGCCAGGTCGACAATGGGCAATGCAGCGCGGTTCAAAGCGTGCAGCGACAATACATGAGGTGTAGAAGTTGCAGAGGATGACATGAAAATATGTCTATTGAATGGAAATGAAGATTAACGTAAAATCGACCGTGAGTGTTACGAGTGAAATGAAAATAACCCGAAGGGGGGTAAGGAGGTTAAGAGCGAAACCTACACAGGGACCACGGAACATCCCGCAATTACTCACTTTTCATTCATCTTAGGGGATGCACACTAGCCTATAAATAAAGGGCAGACACGGCTATTGTTGCACTGTGAGGCAGGCTTAAAGCCTCGCCAAGTCAGATCCATCGGCGGTTCTGCTCGCTCTTCAAGTACAAGTTCGTGACAGAAAAAAGATCAAAGACATTTCATGCTCCGATGCAACACAATTATTTGGAAAAACTAATAGCACATCCATGATGAAAGCCCATCGAGGATTTTTTTTTGAGGCTGAAACATTAATGTCTGAAAGTCCGAGGGAGCAAAATCAACTTGAAAGGCATGATTTACTGGTAGGCATCAACAGCGTATAATCCTAGGACACGAAACATTCGCATTCATGTCTTGACCTTCTCAAACCAGCAAGGAAACGCCCGCCCCCGAAGGAAATGTCCCTCTGTTGCTTTGCGAGTTAGGAGTGGTCAAATGTCCTCCTTTCAAGCAGTTTTGTTCAAAGAAGAATATGCCCCCAGGGTGGCACCGTTGGCCTATTTAAGTTCATGTGCATTCTAGAAATTGTCTGGACATTGAACATATTAAAGCATCTTTCTATTGATTGGAGCGTTGCAGATCGTTGTAAGCATTGAACGACATAAATCCTGTAGGAAAAAAACTGACATGAAAGTCGTGGGATGGTCATACAATGCACTCCACTTACAGACATGTTGAGCAGCCAAAGATCTCGAAAGCCATCCTGTTCATCTTCACTTTGTCACTTCCAGGATACTGCAAAAACAAGAAATTCTTTCCAAACCAGGCAGGCACGAGGAGATCAAAGCTACTTGAAATGCTACTGGCACAAATGGACATCTCTTTCATTTCTTTGTAAAGTGACGCCCCCATCCATGTATACATGTGTCACTTAGTTCAGGGCAGGGATCCAAGAAGTTCAATGCAGAGCCATGGATTGCTTCTGAAACAAGACATACGTCAGTGGTACTGTACATGACCGAATCCCCCTATGTATACCTCCCCGGCACAAAATTTGGAAAGAAGAATACAAAAGGAGGCAGGCAGGTGAAGAAGGTGGCTACAAACGAAGGCAAAAATTTCCCGGGCGACAGGCCGCACGCAGCAGTGTATGTTCCGCTGCAACGTCCCACATCATTCGTGCCTTGGGGGGGGAACGGGGCCGCCCTCGTTTTTTGGGGGGGAGGGAGGAAGACGGGATTGGAAACTCGCCCGGCCCGTCGAGGTCGTGCGAGGAAAAGTCTGGCTTGCTCGGAAAAAAGCTTGCTCCGGAGGAGGGAGATGAAGGATGATTCGAACCGGGAACTCGAGCTGGCAGCACCTGTGCACGGTCTAAGAGGGAGGCCGCTGGCGATGGAGTGGACCGCTGTCCAAGTTTGACAGGGGTCGGAGGGAGGGAGGGAGGGACCGACGGAGGGCATGGTGCTTCCGAGGACTTCTTTCTCTTCCCCCTGCTGGGTTGGAACCCCGCGCCATTCCTTCTTGGGACCGCGGTCGACCTGCCCTTCTTCCCTCCCTCGCTCCCCATGTCTCCTGAGGTCGGCGAGCTCTTCGCCTTGCCTGCTTTTCCCTGTCCACCGCCTCCATCCTCCCCTTTCCGTCCCCTGCCCGCTTTGGAGGCTTCGGACTTCTTCCCTCCCCATCGTTCCTCTTCCTTCACCTCCCTCTTCCACGTATCCTTCCATTTCTTGGGCATGGGGGTAGAGACAAGAAGGGAGGGAGACTGGACCCAGCTTCTCAGGGGCGGGCTCTGCGTGGCCGCTACCTTGCGAGCTCGCGACAGAGGGGGTAGGTGCAACGAGAGGGAGGGAGGGGGAGAGGTCGACGAAGAGGAGGAAGGAGGGGAGGACGACGGGGTAGGGGAGGCACAAGGGGTATTGGCTTTGATTTCTGTCCAGTGAAAATTTTGGCTGCGCACAAGATGAGGGTGAGAGCTATTCACAGTGTCTGTGGGAGAGGGAATGGGGAAAAAAAAAAGGAAAGACGAGAGGGAGAGGTAATGATTGTCACGGCACGTCAAGGTGTCCACGCCCAAGGACCCCTCCCGCTCAGACACTCTCCATCACTGCGCTTTCCCTCCCTTTCCCGACATCGGTTCTCCTCCCTTTTCTGATCGACACCTTTCCGGCCATGACTCCTCCTACACCAGGC